GGCAGCATATTAACCAAAACCAAGTGTCATATTATGGAGAAACATCATTAAATATTCCTTGGTACAGGTCCCACTTTAAATATATCCATCTTTTTCACAGGGTTATTTTATTTTAATTATGTACATATATGTGTATCTGTGTGCACATGTGCATATAAGTGCAGATAATGGTGGAAACCATAGGTAGACATTGGATCTCCTGAGGCTGGAGTTATGGAAAGTTGTGACCTACCCAACATGGATGCCGGCAACTGAACTCAGGTCTTCTGCAAGAACATTTCATGCTCTAAATTGTTCAATCATTTCTTTAGCTTTTAAATATGTCAATTTTCAAATCATTTAAATACTGACAGTGATTTAAAGAAAAAACAATGTGAAGAAAATTTGAAATAGATAATTTTTTCCTATTCAGAGGCATTGAGGTACCCTAAAATAATTTAAATATTTATTAATATTAGCACATGGCTTACACATGAAAAATTTCAAAGTAAAAGCTTAGAGAATGAATCAGTTTCTATCACTAGAGGCATTCAAATATAGATACTCAACCTATCAAGTAATCAGAAATTTATAAGTAATAAGGTATCTGTGAAAGGCTAAGGGCATAATTATCAACTTCGTTAAGCCATGACATGGCCTAGTGAGATGGCTTAAAGGTTAAAATTGCACACTGCCCTTAAAGAGGGCCAGAATGTGGTCCTAGCATCCACATCAAGCAACTTACAACTACTTATGACACTTGGTACCAGGAGATCCAATGGCATCCATTGCCATTGTACTGGTGCTTACATAAACACTAACACACACACACACACACACACACACACACACTGTTTAAAAAAGAAAAAAATCCTTAAAATCTATGTCTGGAAGTCATTTCTTTGATTTCTCTGTTTCTGCACATGGTAGAAGCAGAATCTGGAAGAAGGATAGAAAATCTCTTCTTATTAACTTTGTGGTCTGTCCTAAGTGGTCACTGTCAGTCAGAATTCCATGACACAATCTCTGAAAAAAGGCAATCCTTGGAGGTTCCAAAAATTCTCTATTACAGGATCCACACTGGATCCATAAATATTAAACAAATATGAACTATAATATTGCTGCTAAATAAAGAGAAAATGAAGAGAATGAAGTAATTATTAATGCCACTCTATGATGAGTTGTACATTCTGTCATAAATTACTCCCCCAATTGTGAGACAGAACACCGTAAGACAGCACCCTAATCTTCAAAGATGTCAGTATAATTATAAATATTTTAATCTGAGTTTATCAGTGATTGACATTTTGAATTGCTGACGTCATTTCTAAGCATCACTTATAATGAGTCTGGATCCTTTTCTGACCTATTTAATTAGTAATTATGTACCCTCAGTTACTTTCAAATGTGCATAATAAATTTAGCAAGGATTAAGAGGGATAAAATATTCGTGAGTTGCTACAGGAGAAAGGCTCCAGGCTTAGTAGACTTTGGCTCCATAGGACTGTTAATCTCATTGTCAGGAAATTAACATTAATTTTCCCAGGAGCACTGCAGTTTAGAAGTCTCAAGGACTTTACTTATTAGAAGGAGACAGTAACGACTTAGAAGTTCAGAGAGCAGGCTGCAGAGTCTCACTTACCTGCCCTTCACTGATTGGCGGTACGACCTCAGTTTCCTCATCAGTTAAATCATAGTTCCCAACTTGGAAACTTCTGTGAGGATTACATTGGACACGCATGTGACGTGTTCCTCATGGGGCTAAGTAATAACTCAGTGAGGCCTGGGAGACAGCTAAAACCCAAGAAGCGCACAGCACAACAGCCAGAGGTCCTGCGATTCTTGGGACTAAAGGGTAGGCAGAGCAGGGGAAACCCCTGGGAGTTCTAGGGTCAGCATACGCATATGCACACGCGCGCACGCACACACACACACACACACACACACACACACACACCCCACACGCACACAGTGAGAGAGAGAGAATAAAATGAATCTTTAAATAAAAATGCAAACCCAATGAAGATTATTAGTCATTCTATCTATTCTGAACAGAGTGGAGAGTGAAAGCACAGATTTCCAGAAGCGTTCAGAATGGGTTTAGAATGTAATGAATGAAACAGACAAGATCCTTTGAAGCAAGCAAGATGTTGTCCCCAAGTCTACCTTTCTTTCATAGATCTGTACCTCAAAGCTCAGAAGTTTATCTTACACAGCATTTCAGTTGATCAGAATGAATTTTTTAACATGTACCTCTTTTTGATGAATGACTGAGAGGTATGCACCTGCTATATTCTTTGTGTGTGTGTGTGTGAGAGAGAGAGAGATGTGTGTGTGTGTGTGTGTGTGTGTGTGTGTGTGTGTGTGTGTGATGTGTGTGAAGGTCAGAAGACAACTAGTGAATGTCAATTTTCAGCCTCTACTAGGTGCATCCCAGGGATCCAACTCAGGGCTCCCAGCTTGGCAGTAATCACCCTTCCCCACTGATCCATCTTGCCAGACCTACATTTTCTTAAAACCCAGGTAGATTATTAATTCAAGACAGGCTTGCCATATTCCTAAATCTCCTTTTAGCAGTTTCTTAATTATAATACAATTACTTTATATTACCTTGGAAGTACTAAGAACAATAATTCCCAGTTGGATCTAAGCAACCACATGACTGTGGTCTAAGTAAAGCACAGACACAGATGAAGTTTAAGGTAATGAAAGAGAAACAACACATTACACACTAAAGAAAAAGTTGTAATTCCCATCTGTACTTCAAGAATGGAAAGAGAGATGATGGGGACAGCTTTGCCGCTAGAGTGATGCTAACAGATTGAAAGTGTCAATCAAGACTTAATGTGCTGCCTGCATGTTGGTAAATAGTTTTGAGTGAGGAGATTGGGAGCTTTTCTTCGCCAGGCTGCAAAAGCTTTTGAGAGCACAGTGCATGCTGCACTATGCATTTAGGGTAACGAGAGGATGCTAATGGGGCTAGAAGCTGTTCACTTTCTTTGTTTATGGGAGCAACTTGGGTGAGTGGTTTGTGTTCACAACTGGAACTCAAAGGAGATGTGGAATAGGTGAACTTATTTTTGTTAAGAATTCCTACCTCTCTGCATGCTGCAAAATGAATAAACAGATAAGTAGTAAATAAATAAATATTTGCTCATTCAATGTATTTGAATGCTTCTAGGAGCCTGCATAAATATGTTTTCTTATGCTTCTGAAATAAACAAACCCTAAATCACATTGAAATGAAGGCTAACCAGTCAGAATTGTCCCCATACTTTCACTTGGCTTTCAGAGACTTTATTCATTGATCTCTTCAGCCACTCAACTCCTTACATATTTATCTACTACATGCCAGGGTAGGTAGCTAGTATACAAATGGGAAAAGGTTTCAAGAAATCATTGGACACTTAAAATAAGAGTAAGGGTATGGCTCATTCATCAAACAATTTGCTGATTTTGCTCTTTTTTTAAAAGAAATGTTTCTATTAATAAGATTGACTAGCCTGAGAAAGGAAAATTATATAAACAGGAGTAGGACCATAGAGTGGGATCAAGTAGGAGATGGTGATGACTAGAGGCAGTAGCGATATAATTTGGCAATGGATTTGGGATATCATTACAATTTATTTAGCATATCACTATTATTATTTAGGATATCATTTATCATTGGATGATAAAGTACATTGCACTTGATATTTGGATAGAGATCATGAAGAGGAGTAGCAAATCAGAGAAAACACCTGTTTCCTTTCAGTGAGTGACAGGTAGAAGGTAGAATTAAGCTATGGTTTGATTGTGACTGGTCTCTTCCAAAACTTTGTTTAAATGTATTCCTCATTATGAGATATTAAAAAATGGATCCCAATGGAACTGTCAGGAGATCTATAATACCCTTACAAACAGATTCATCCATTAATATTTTCATTAGTGCATTTGGCTGTTAATGAATTTACCTCAAGAATGTGTCTGGCTTGTTCTCTCCCACATTCCCCATGTGTTGAGTCACCTCAAGACATTGCCACCACAAAGACTTGCAGAGGCTGGAGGTATTAAGCCCTCCAGGAGGTAGTATTATACCTGATTTTGAACTGCCTGATGTGGGTGGAGAATTAGGTCTACAGAGGAACATGCTTGCTCCTAACTGCTGAGACATTTCTCTGCCCCCATTTAATTTATATTTAAAGTGAGAGAAGCTTTTTCATTGTGTACTTATTTTGGTATCTTAATGTACAAACAAGAGTCATCCATATAATTATCTAGAAAGATTAGTCCTTATAAGTAGTCAGTGTTCGGCTGTTTCTGAGTTACTGTTCATACGATGATGTCAAGGTGTTTTATTTTAGTTATGGAGAGCATCTTATCCAAAGAACATTCATAGCAACTTTTATTGTTCTTATAAGATAAAATTAGTATCTATAACTGATATTGTTCTGTTTGGCATCTCAGAGGCCTTGTTACCTTTTTCAGTATTTAATTGCATTGACGTATATGTGAGTACACGTACTGCCACAGCACCCAGGTGGAGCTCAGAAGACAGTCTGTAGGAGGTAGTTGTATCCTTCCACCACCTGAATCCCAGATATCAAATGCAGCTTGTCAGGATTGGCAGCAGGAACTTTGCCTGCTGAGCTAAGTTGCCAGCCAGCTATTTTAGCTTTTTAAATATCTTTACAGTCATTATTCTAACTATTTTACACATCAACTCGATTTTTCAATTTCTTGAGTTTCATATTCAATAGTTTTAGAATTAAGAAATGCTCTCAAGCCTGTTCAAAAGAAGCAGAACATAAAGAAAAAAGAATATATTTTATACCTCTATAACTATACTTTTCATTGTCTTTGATTGTTTTTCCCTTCCAGATGTGGAAATAACTCTGCCTTAATGTTTGAATCTCTGTATTTAAACTATTAAATATGTAGCAAAGAGATATGCATTTAAAATGAACAATTTTGCACTTCCCAGAAAGTATAGGAATCCAGAAACACAAAGGAGATAATTTCTTTTTTATTTATTTTCATAGTGATCCCAGAGTTTGTGACACAAGTGAATGTTGCCTTGGATACTTTAAGCAAGAACTCGCTGACTGTGTTTGATGATAATCAGTTTGTGGACATCTCAAAGAAGATCTACGACACAATTCATGATATCAGATGTTCGGTCATGATGATTCGGGTAAGCCCACTTAACCTGTTCTTGCGTTTTTCAGAATTCCTCACCATCTGAAATGTTTGGAAGGATACCAACAAATGTTTGCTGTCTTTGGACTTGTATTAGTTCTTAAATCTATCAGTATTTCAAAATTCCAGTGTTTCTTCAAAGGCAGGTCTAGTGTCATCTGACTTACATCTTTAGTTACAACTGAAGCAAACAAAAACAACAACTACAGAACCCAGAAATAACATGCTTGCCTTCCCTGAAAGGGGCAAGGATAATTCTCACTGCTAAAACAAGGTGTTTCTGTGGCCAAACCTTCTCATTCTAGACCGCAGATTCACACAACATCCTGCAAGAAATCTGATGTCTAGAACTGCTAGGAGCAACAAGCCCTTTAAACTTCCCAATCTGGGCATACTGTATTTGAGAAAAAAAATTATCACTTTCCCAAGAGTGTGACTGCATCATTGGTTCCAGATACCCTGCATATACAGAGACTAAAATTGTTTGTTTTAACTCAAATGCTAAAGGGTGTTTTTAATGTTACTAAAGAAACAGTAAGTTCCTTAAAAATGCTTATATAAGAGTAGGAGGGATGTCATAAGATGAGGAAGACATAGAAAGTGAGGTACAGATTTCTGTTTTCTGAAGTACAGGAACAAGAGACCTGAGTAAGTGAGGCCAGGTTGTTAAGGAAATCATTGCAGGCTTATTATGAGGTAATATGGGTGTTGATACCGCTGTGAAACTCTTGATTTTCTGTGGAATACAGCTCAGAGTGATTTCACCTGAGGTGAAGAAAATCTTGAGATTTACCCAACCATTCATCCTCTATTAAATGCTACACTAAGGGCTATTTACCTGGGCTTCCTACTCAAAGCCAATAAAGCAATTGGCATTCAATAAAGGAACCTTAGGCAGGGTAGTAGATGCCTGCGGGAAGGTATGAGAAAAATTTGTAGCTATGAATACAGTTCACTGTAAAAGTTTCATAAACTAGCTGCTAGTTAGAAGGAAGTAGATATGATGAGGATATATTAATAACATAGTGGAAATGTCTGTGTGAGGCCCAGACATCATAGTCTGCACTGAGCAGTACATAAAATTGCAATGTTTGACAACCTTGTGAAGATCCAGAAGGCATTGTGAAGACTAGCAGAACAAAGAGAAGGATTTAGGATTGTAAGAGACAGATTAAAGGTATGACGGTATAGGATCCAGAACATGGGGCTTTGGAAAAGCTGAAAATAAACCCAATGATGAGTATCAAAGAGAGAGAGCCCCAGATATAAATATATATTCAGAAAGTTCCTAGTTACCATGGTTAGTCTTAGGTGTTTGTCCCTTTTCAATGTTTCAGTATAAAGAATTCTGATTTTGAAATGTTACCTTTTCCTGGCCTAGTAGTGTGTTCAGTAAGACATTTTCATGAAGTGTTGGGAAGTCACACTGACAGTTATCACTCTTTGTGACAGTGAGAAGCTGGGTGTCTAATCTTTGAGGTTCAATAGCTTAGGTGACTAACACGCAGTTTTTAATGTCACAGGATCTTCAGCTTGATGATGTCTTTATTGGCACTCTATTGTAAGTTTTGGAACACCAGTAGCAGTGGGTAGCCTACAAAGATTTGGTTGTGTGATTGGATGTGTAGTGTTGTAATACTACATGTTCGAAGAAATCTTACCAAACATGACAGTGCCCTTGAAGAAGCTTTTTTTTCCTACCTTACTTCTTTGCAATTGCGTGAAGCATGAAGGATATGTGGGTCAAGGACACAAAAGCTAAATGTGTAACAACATAAAACTGCACAAAATGGTTTCATTATGACCAAACACAACAAATTAACCACCTCTATGACATGCTTGATAAGATAAAACAGTTCTTAACATGGGAACTCCATGATAGACCATCCATATTTTCTTGAAATCTGTCTAGATAAAAAAACAACAACAAAAAAACATTATAGTAGATGTTCCAGTATTTAATTTCTTCTTATTTTCAAGATTTCTTACATAAATCAAATCACCTTGCTGTTATTTCTCCGTATTCTTCCCAAGAAGAGGTCTTTGTGGAACAAAAGGCTACTTTGTTGTAATTATGAATAGCTTAGGAGGAAGTAATTTTCTCTATAGTTATTTATTTTATCAATGTGAATATTTCTATTTCTGTTAACGTTTTATCCTAGGAGTATTCCGGTGTCTTGTGTTCTTTGCCATTTCTTGTTTAATTTTCACTAACTACTTCTTCCTTCCTTCCTTCCTTCCTTCCTTCCTTCCTTCCTTCCTTCCTTCCATTCTTCCTTCCTTCCTCTCTCTGTCTCTCTGTCTCTGTCTCTCTCTCTTCCCTCCTTCCTTTTTTCCCCTTCCTTCCTTTCTTCCTTCCTTCCTTCCTTCCTTCCTTCCTTCCTTCCTTCCTTCCTTCCTTCCTTCCTTCCTTTCTTTCTTTTTGGTGTGTGTGGGGTTTATTTCAGCTTACAATTCCATCATTGGGGAAGTCAGGGCAGGACCTCAGATGGGGCAGAAACCTAGAGGCAGGCGGCTGATGCAGAGGACATGAAGGGGTGCTGCTTTCTGACTTGTCTCCATGGCTTTCTCAGTCTGATTTTTGAAACCGTCACAAATGTGTTTTAATTAAATCCCTTCCTGTATCAAATAAAGTGGAGTTATTCTTATGGACAATTTCTGCTGCTGTTTAACTTCTGCTGGCTTAGTTTGCCAATTTCCAACATAAGAACCATTGGACTAAGGACAACTTTTACTATTACTCTTGGTCCAAAATTCTAATTCAGCTAGACTCCTTTCTTTTTCTAAATGACCACTTATGCAACTGTCTGTTTGCTTTCCAAGTTGGTTCTTCACCACACCAATTTATCACCAGTTAGATATATGAAATATTGAGCTTTATTTCCTTCATGTAAATTATTAACAAAAATACCCAAATATTGACTGTTCTCTCCAAGGATTCAATCACCCTTTATCTGTTTTCCTCTACACAGCCAATTGTTTAAAACATTATAATATTAAAATTTCAATTTCTTCCAAATTCTTTGAGTCTTGAGATTTCTATTAACCCTTCCTGCTTCTAGTCACAAGGTTCTCCAACTCATTTTTCTAATCTCCACTTTTCTGAGAACCTCCATTCTACTGTATTGTCCAATTTATCCACCTTTTCCTCTGCAGATCAAACTACTTCTGTTTGTCTCCAAACATTATATTCCTACCCTGGTGCTTTGATAATTGGTTTCCTTGGTTACTCAGACCTATACTGCAGTCAGGATGTTGTTTTCACATTCCAGGGCATTCTGAACCATTTGCTCAACAGGTAAAATGAACCTTTAACATATTCTTTGATTATCACATATTTTATTTATTTATTTATTGGTTTTTCGAAACAGGGTTTCTCTGTATTGTTTTGGAGGCTGTCCTGGAACTCACTCTATAGACCAGGTTGTCCTCAAACTTGCAGAGATCTGCCAGCCTCTGCCTCCCGAGTGCTGAGATTAAAGGTGCGTGCCACCAATGCCCGGCTTACTACATATTTTGTAATGCAGCTTTCGAGATTGGGCCGACGTTAGAAATCCATCCCTTTATTCTGTCATCTGTTTCCTTTTTAAATTTATGTTAAACAATTACATTTCAAAGAGTTTTGGGATGGCAAATTGGATTTCATAAAACATGTGAAAGTAAGCTGACAGTGCCACAAATTCGGATGACTACATCAATATATACTTTTGTGATAACCTTGGATTATAGAACTCATTCTCTTTCACGCATGTCCAGTTAGGTCTGTAATTTTTAATGCACACTGTCTTTCTTGGGCCTGCACATACTTCTTGTTCGGTGGTATGTCAGTTTTACCAACTGTGTTCCCCTTCTCCACGGGGCCCGCACTAATGATTCCAGTTCTCTGTCAACCCCAGGGAGCACATTTTCTCCAAAGGAGTAACTGCTGTCAAAAGTAAGCTTCCTCAGGCTTTGTGGCTCCTTTGTTGACTGTAGAGAAGCTTTTCAATTGTCATTTGGGATTTATTAAGCACACTGAGAATGAACACCTTTTCATTTCTCACCACTCAACAGATGTCCTGAAGTCACTTAGTCACTCTGCTCTTCATTCCAGGGGCGTCTGGCTAGGGATTCCCAGTTGAAACATTGCCCTTTGGGGAGGTGTCAGGACTACTTTACAGTGTTAGAGGACTTTATAAAGGAACAAGTTAGCAGGGAACCTCCCAACAGAACTCAATAAAAGACATGTAAAAAAGTAACTTTAGATTTATATGTAAATTTAAGTCAAACCTTGGCGGAAGAGTTTTGTAGTAGGTTTCTTGCTGTTATCTCTAAAAACAAAGAACATAATGGAAGGGAAATCCAGAAGCTCCTGCTGGCATAGGCCAGCCAGAACAGAGGCCTCCTGCTCCCAGCACATTTATTCTCCTTCCTTGTGCATCTTTTGAAGTGACTTCTGTTGGTGGGAACAGAGGTGACTAGAGTAAGAATATCCACAGAGAAACAAGCTGGCTAGGACACAGAAGCAGAGCCAGTTGGTGACTGAAACTCATGCTGGGAGAAAGATGTTCAACTTGAAGTTTTTCAGGGAAATGATTTCTCTCCAAACAGTGGAAGCCACTGGTCTAATGGGAATCGTCCAGAAGGGCATTAATGCTGACAAATTCAGAACTCAGAGCTTTCTATCAGCATAGGAAGTGATTCGACTTTTTTGAATCTGAAGAGCCAAGTATTTTTCTTTGAAACATGTTATGTTCAGGACAGATGACTATGTAGATTGAAGAATAATACAGAGAAGATGACTAATTGTGGAGACTTCATGGATTTTGGGGCTGCGTGTATGTATGTGTGTGGGCATGTATGTATGTATGTTCGTGTATGAGGTGTGTGTGTGTGTGTGTGTGCATGCTTGCATGGGTGTACATGCTCGCATTGTGCATATGGAGGCCAATGGTCAGCCTCAGTTACTCTCTTTATTCCCTATTACTTATCTGAGTAGGATTTCTCACTAGCCTG